CCCTCTTTTTGATGGCATGTTTAACAATACCTAAAACAACATAAGATCGTCCTTCGTAGTATATAAAGTACAGAAGCGACAACGGACCGATGACAACGGACTGAATTTTCGTATCTTGTCATGACAACGGACAAAAAAAATGAAATAAATCAAAATTTTCAGTTTTAATTTGTTCTCATTTTTCTTTAAAGGCTTACAACATGTCTTAATACTGTCTGTACCAATTCGTGTGAATATTATATATTCTATTTACGAAAAATATAACATCTCAGTAGGAAATAGAATCAGATCCACAAGTGATTTCAACAGTGTTAATGTCGCCATCGCAAACTCTTCTTTTATTACTTCTTTTTAACGGCTGAAATTCATACAACACCAAAAAGGGTGTCAGCCCTGTTTCCCATTGCAATTTCAGACATTTTTATAGATAATTTAACTTGAAAAATGAAAAACTTCTCACAGCCTGTCTTCTCAAGTCATGACACCGGACGGATTTTATCATAACTTCACCTGTATGTTCATGACAACGAACCAGTTTCAGTGCTTAACTTTAAAGGTTTCTGACAACGGTACTGTCTAAGAACTTCACGTGTTCCTGGCCGTGGAAAAGTTTACGACAACTATGGTGAGAGACAAAGGATTGTCAGCTCTTGAAGAAAGTTGGTCAGAACCTCCTATATCTGAATTATCAATAACATTATGTTTATAAAATATTTGAATTGAAAAATGTAGAATATATACAATATTCAATTTAAAAACTGCTCTCTCAAAATTTCTAATAAATGAGATTTTCGGGGACTATTTCTTGGAAGGGTGGGGGGTGTTTAGAAAAAAAATCTCAAAATCTACACAATTGTTTTTTATGTTTAGGAACTCTGGCCCTAAATATATTTACTGAAAAATAAAATATTCAAAAAATACGTAGACCTCGTGTTACTGAATTCAACATGTTTGTTTTTCCATTTCAATTTTGCATTACAGACAAAGTTAAAAAAATAATTTAAAAATGGATCGATCGATTTAGGAAAATGAAGAAAGTCTCATGAAATGTAGGACGACTCGATGATGGTACGACCTAGTGAAAACAAACAGACCCGGAATAAACAATGTTACACGAGGTCACAGTTGGTATGCAGACACCTAAGATATGGTAATATTACGATAGGTGATTGTTAAATAAGTTTTGTAGGTTAAAACGGAATGAGGTGTATAAATAGAAACTTCACTGTAGAAACCTTAAAGATGTTTTTATACTGTAGATGATAAATAAGCAGATGTTAAGAATAATACATGGAATACATGGTCATAAATCAGAATAATAAATGCAAGTCTATCCGGAAGAAAATATTATTAAAATGGGATTGTTGTCTGACTTACACAGCTGACACATGTCTTACACTGAGGTTGATGATAAAGGGCGCGTGCTTCATAAGCATACGGCAAAGTGAAAAATTAAAAATCATATAATCAGTATTAGACTGTTTCATATTTGAATGCCTTACTGACTGTAGACGATAAGTGCCAAGTAACAACTAAAATGTGTGACAAACGAGGTGACTTCAGCTTTTCCATCGTCATCTTTCCTCATTTATGTTATTTATGCATTTTAAATATTATGTAGTAATATTCCACAATCACCTGCATACGTTGTTTATGTCTCTCATGATCTTTTTTGGTACTCAAGAGCACTAAGTAAGATAAATTTTTAAACTGAGACATACTACTGACAATAAGTTGATGTTAAAGGGATTTCAACAACCTTGTTTAAAGTCAGCATTTTGTAAATTCTATGGTCAGGTCGATATAATGACCTTATTAGCAAATACAACTTGTCATTGGGTTTTATTTTGACTGATAATTTTATACTAATTGTCAACTGAAATATGGTGGCTAGTGTAATAACAGTTTGTTTACCAGTGGCCAGATACATGTAGCTCAGGTTAAAGAGTATTTGCTTAGAGTTGAAAGGGGGGAGTTCAATGGTCCTTGGCACTTTCTTCCTACTTAGGCTTAATAAAAAAATATGTTTGTTTACGGTTACCCAACCGACCCTATATCTAATTGCCAACCCAAATTTTTTTTCTTCATAAAAATCCGGAAGTCACTCGCTGGTCAGTTTAACTTTTAGATGTAATTTAATTCAACATGTTCGCTGCAGTTTGAAGAATGCCCTCATATGAAAGAACTCAAACTTATACTGGCATTGCCAAACAGCATGACGTTTATTCAGGTGTTTGAACAATATCATGATGGAAAAAACTGTTTTGTATTTCAACCAATTCATGTGAATTTGTGTATAAAAAATCCTACCTACTGACCCTATTTTATTTCAGCATGTAACAGTAAACAAACATATTTTTTTGTTTGGCCTTATAACAAAAATAAGAGAATATTAGGTTACATTGCCAATTTTCCAAAATATTGTCTTGTTTAAAGCCATGAATCATTTGCAATAATAAATTAAATTACAATATATCTTGAGGTGGATTTTTTTTTAAAGAAAGGAGCTTTAATTTTGCTGTCTCTAAACACAAACTTTCTACATTGAATTGGTGAACTTGGATTTTTAGTGTTTTTGTCAAAATATATTGAATTCCTTCATCAGTCATTTTTATTAGATTTCTTTTCCTTTCAGAGACAGAAGATAAGTTCGTCAATGCTATTGTTCGGACCAGTCTTTAGACGGAGTTGCGTGGGCTCAATTGTCTGTCTGCTTTCCTTTCATTCCTCTCAAACAATACTTCTTAATCAGTACAAAGAATTGCTGACTCTAAAGGACAAAGAAAAACCTGCACCACTCTCACGAAGTTTACAGAATTGTATCCATGAGGTTGGTTTATAAATGTTTAGATCAATCATGATGATGGTTAGATTACTTAGACATACATGTATTTATGTGTCAGCCATCCTGAGTTCCTGACATATTTAAAATGGTGGTTCGATGATTGATAATTAAGGTTTTAGATGACCATACAATGACTATGTTGACATATCAGACATAAATCTGTTTCTGCTAAGACTTTATTATATTTTGTATTAAAAACAAAAATCAAATTTCAAATTTGTTCGATGTTAACCAGCAGAGAAGAAAATGCATATCTGTAGTTCACTCATCTGAAAACTTTAGGGTAATCATGGATGGCTGTCCATTCCAGTTCTTTTTCAGACCAGTGAGCTACAGAGCAGTTTAGACATAATCATGTGTTCTCTCTCCTGTATGGCATTATATTACTAACATCCACTGAATATTTTCTCTTTTATTTTTCATGAAAACCATATTGCTGTTTTGAGTGTTTTCTGCATTATACTTCCAAAATCTTAAAGTCATTTGTAAATATGAAAGAAGTGTTAAAGGTCAACTGTTTCATTGCAACTATTATGTTTTGTATAAGACAACATATCATATTGAAATGCCTTTTACTTTCATGTACAATATTACTTAATTGATTGGCACCTTTTTTAAGGTTTACAAAGATTTAATGAGGACAAAAAGATTAACAGAGAAGCAACTGAAGAAAATTGATATCATCATCAGCAAAGATTCCTCTGAGCCATTTCACAAGGAAATCTCTACTCCATCTGTGGGGCTTTTATTGGACTTCCATCATCTTTCCCAAGTTTAGATTCAGAAACAGTGCAAACTCCCAATGGAGAAAACACAGAGGAACTTTCAAATAGAAAAGTTTTGCCAAATAATCAATGGGACAAATGTGCAGTAAAATGTGCCATTCTGAAAGAGTGTCTTTTGACAGACTCGCTTGACATTCAGGTTCGCACCGCTCTACAAGGGGTCTTCTGCTTTTTATATTCTATGATTCTTCAATGGAACACTCGCAGATTCCACAGCATTCATTACAGGATTGTGTATTCATTTGTTTGGTCTGCGTTGATTGGAATTGTGTTGTTACAACAGTGGAATTCTTACAAGATTTACAGAGACAGACAAGCAGATAATGATGTTGTTTTGTTCGGCAGGGATTACATCAAGGGGGGAGTGTTGTATTATTCAAATATCATACAGCAAAACAAGATATCAAGAAGTAGACAGTATGATGAGAATGGAAACCGAAAACAAGCTTTACTTGGCAATAATCAAATTCCTTACACTGAGAAGAAGGAGTTCTTTATAGAACAGATGAAAAAAGTGGAAAGGCAGCTAGCACATGAATTGAAAAAACAAATGTAGAAAATAAATTTTAATTGATTATGATGACATTCAGAGTTGTGTATAGTATAAAAATGATTCATTACAAAGCAAAACTATTTTCTTGCATGAAATTATATGCCAGATGAAGTTAAAATTTTTTTGCAGTTACCATGTGGTCATAAATATTTATGGTTAAATAATGCAACACAGAGAGTTGACATGTAAAACTAAATACAGCTGAAGTTCGGTATTTCAAACACAAATACCTTGAATACCAGGGATATGTCAAAGTGATATGAAAGTCCAAAATACTTTTAAGCTCTGCTGACATAAGAGCCACAATGGACGATCAAAGTATATAGGGAAAAACCTGCTGATGAATAACAGCAGGGCCATAATGACTCGTGTCAGCATTGTTGCCCATGGGCCTCTTGTTAAGTATTTTACCCTCAATATCATCCACTCAGTTAACTTGATGTTTTTTTGTCCCTTGAATTCAAGATAACGAGATTTGACTGTACAAGTATAACACCCTAAATTTTAAGCACGAGCACCCTATACATATTACCATAAGCGCCCCAAATACATATTGTGGCATTTCCCACAAGTGAAAAAGTGTTTTTTTTTAAAAGACTTCATAAGTAGAGAAATTAAACGATTATTCACAGATTAATTCATGGACAGACGTTCAAACCAGTTTGTCATAAAGTTTTGATGTCTTTTAAATGGGCCGACTGTCAATAATCTTGGGCCGACCCGTCGGGGGTTGGGAGGGGGGTGTCAAGTGTGTCATCTCTGTCTACCTATCAGACTGTGTTGTAGTACGACCTATCCATTCAGTGCAAAATGCCGGTGTTTGATCCCGACGACAAGGTTGCTTGTGTAATCTTGTAAATGATTGCTTATTTAAGTTAATAGGAAGCCTGTTAACTGTTAAAACATGAGTCGGGTGAGTATTTTATTAGAACAAGAAACATACCTCAGGGAGAGTGCACTAATGTGTGCCTATCACATGGATAGATCGAATTTACTCGGGGAATTTTTCGACACATTATAGATTTATCCTGAGCTCTGAAATTTTAGCGGCATGTTGATGACCATTGCATTAAGTATCAATAAAACATTAGTTTGAAGAGAGATACATTTCATTATTTTATAAATTTAGGTCATTACATTTTATGAATTTAGATCATTACATTTTAAACCTGAATTTAAAAATATTGGATTGTCATGAACCATAGATAATGCAACAATTACTTAACAGAAGATATGCTCCTAGCTGTCCTTACTTACTCAGTATGTTTTCTTTGTAATGATTTCGTTGTTGGAATTTTTATTTTCAGTTTCGTAAATTCATGATGGAATGGAACCGAGTGATACTTGGTTCTGTCCTGACAGCTGGTTCTCTTGCTGAGCTCTTTGGCTTTTGTGCTCCAGAGACAGTGTTTCTAAGGGAATACAAGTACCTGCTGACATTAAAGGAGATGGAAGAGCCTTACCCTCTGACCCCAAAACTGGAGGAGGCCAGGAATGAGGTGAGAACAAAGGAAGGGTTGTTACAAAAAAGAAAACGATAAATAAATGTATTCAGTAGCACAGGTATGTACTGTGGCAGTCAGACTGGTTGATCGCCGGTGGCCAGATAGGTCATTTGGTAGAGCACCTGACTGGAGATTCAGGGGGCCCAGGTTCGAATCCCAGTCTGGTATGTCACATTTTTCTTCTCCCGTTACATTTGGTGCCGTACCATGCCCTGGAAGTGACAGGTGAAAGACCAGCCAGGGAAGAGCCTGAATTGGTGTCTTCAGGGAACTGAAGACCTTTAAGGAGGGAGGAATATGGTGGTCAGACGGATTTGATCTCCGATGGCCAGGTAGCTCAGATGGTAGAGCACCTGACTGGAGATTCAGGGGGCTGGGGTTCGAATCCCAGTCTGGTACATCACAGTTTTTCCTCTCCCATTACATACATCTACATACTGATGTTTACCCATAGGGTTTAGAGACAGTTTTCAGCTGTGTATGCCCTCAAACAAGTGAAACAAGCAAAGTAAATTGCACTCATTCGTATCCAATGCTTGACTCGTTAAAAGTGCCCTTGTTTGATGCATGGCTTTCACATGGTAAAAACATGGATTTGATTCTCATGAAAATTTAAAAATGGGTCATGAAAACCTGAGAACCCGGTGTTTTAACAGAGACAATCTACTAATCTTTGAGGAACTCTTCTGATATATTACTCACCCTTAAGTGTACCAATAATCTTGAAAATGTCAACCAAAAGTGTCCCATTGTTTTACTTATAGGAAAAAATGTTAAGCCATGCCTAGATTCAAATCCCAAAGCATACCAAAGCTGTTTACTATTCTGGAAATTCCACATTTCTTCCAGATTTTAATTTCAAAATAAGATTATGTAAATTACAACTGGAAATTATGCTTCCAGGTTATGCTCTTATTTTTATTTTTTTTATGCTGTTTAAATGCTTTCGCAATGATAAACAGCAATCTATGTATATATCAGTATCTCATTGACACTGTTGTATACTTAGATTGCTAGAATTTATATATGATACATGGTGATAAAACAGATGCTAACATAAAAATCTAAATCATTATATCCAAAAGCTTTTAAATGCAAATAAGATCAAAGTATTGCCAATATGAAATTACTTACATAAAGCTTAAAGCTGAACTTGACTCGTTAATAGGCGTCCACCATATTACATATAGTTTTACTACATGTATCTCCAGTGATTTTTCTATACTTTTTAAATGGGGTCTGGGCCTTTACAATTGGGAAAAATTATCGACATTTGTGTCAAATTGGGAAAAATTATTAAGATTGAAATAAACCTTAATTGACAGGTAAAATAAAATATATATGTAAATGTAACATCTTTTATTCAAAATATTTACTACAAAATAACAAATTAGACACGGTTCTACATTTTTAACTTTTTTTTTAATCTTTGAAAGTTGTCATTAATTGAGACTGTCCTATAATTCCATTCTTTCTTCTCCTTTTTTTTTTTGTTGCCATAATGGTAGACATAAGAGAAAATCCTACTCATAATAGCCATTGAAGGTGATATAACCTGACATGATTTATAACAAATCCTTTTTTTCTAACTAGTTATTAAAGCTTTTTAAATTACCCTTATCATATTGCTGCAATATTAGTTGCATCTTCCGCGTGTTACAGAAACAGTTGGAATCAGGCTTATTGTAGAACTACTAGTACTTTGATTTACAAAAAAAGCTATGTTTCGCCGGTTCACATGCATCTTACACTTTCCTACGATGCATTTAGTTTGACATGGTCCATGTGTTTTTCTATGTCTTGTAAATGCACAAAATAATCAGCTGTTCTTCACTATTATTGACCGAGAACAATAGTGTTTCACTTTAGATAAGTCCTACATAAAAAAAATTCAATATAATAAAAACAAGAACGGTTTTGTTTTGGGGAAAAAAGCAAATGAAATTGGGAAAAAATCGGTAATTTTTGATAGGGGAAAGGGCCGATATTCGGACCTAAAATGGGTGTAGAAAAATCACTGATCTCTGATATCAGTACTGAGGTATACCCTTCCCATTTGTTACAACTGACTGCTTTCTTGTCATGGGAACCTGTGTTGAATGGACGATGCATGTTCATGCTGGTTATCTTATATTACCTTTATTGCAGTTTACGAGCATTTGTGTTGGTTGTATACTGCATTGACCTGTGCAACTGTTGTAAATTTCTTTCTCAAGTTTACTTTTGTCGCTATGAGTGTTTTGCAAAAGCCATATAGCATATGGCTGTCTACATCTACACAGGTGAAACTGATTACACTGAACAGTAAACAAGTGAATGGCTTATATAGGGGCCCTCAGATATAACAACTGAATAAAAGAATATGGCAGACAAATTCCTTTTACGATTTATGTTCAGCTTTAAATCGGGGATAGAAACCATCAACATTACTTAGAACTAAAGTTAGAAAAAAGGGTAAATACCTCTGGTATACTGAAGTTTGGTCCTCTCCATTTTCATACATTAGATAATCAGAAACAGAATAGACAATTTAATGAATAATGAAGTTGTACAAAACTTTCTGATGAATCACCTTTTTGAGGGGGGGGGGGGGGGGGGCTTTGCCTACAGATTGGTACAAAGTTCCCTTATGAGACAATGTTACCTTTTCTCAAGGAATGAAACATCCATGAAACCCTTCAAATTTTTTCACTTTGGGATGCAAGACTGTTTTTTGTACAACATATATGTAAAAATAGAAGTGACTTTCTAAACTTTATGGTGGGCATATATCTATGTTTTATTTTTTAGAAGACTCTCTGAAAAATGGTGTCAAAGTTCAATTTTCCTCTCTTTCAATTATGTTGCATTTTAAAATGGCCCACCTATTTTGTACTGCCTGCAATTAGTTTCACTCATAGAAAAAATTGTTTTGCAGGTATTCAAAGATTTGATCCGCAAAGGCAGACTGTCACAGAAACAGTTGGAGAAGATTGACATCATTATAAATGGTGACATGAATGATCCATTTCACAAGGGAAATCTGAATTCTCGATTTGGGACTTTTGTGGCTCTTCCTATAACATTTACATATAATCATCCTGAGGAAGTTCCTATGGATAATTTCATGATTGGACAAACCCTCCCAATTGAAGATGGGACCCAAGAGGGAGCAGTCCTCAAAAAATCTATTATTCAGGGAAAAAACGCAGTCAAATATGCATTACTGCGGGAGTGTCTACTAACAGATAGCTATGACATGCAGATTAAGTATGTACTTTTGACAATGTTTTTAGCCATTTGTTCAGCTCTTGTGTATCTTAGTGTAACACGTATCAAATCTCGATCGCAGATGTTACTTACAATCCTGCCAAGTATTCCAATCAATGGACTCGTTCTCTTACAATTCTGGTGTTTGTACAAACGCAGGAAAGATTCCAGTGTAGATATGGAAGTAGCAGAGTTTGGTCCGGATTATGTATTAGGAGGACTAGAATATTACACACAGATTGTTCGTCGAAATAAAGCACTGTATTATATTATGAAAGACAACACTAGAGATCATTTTACTGCTGCAGGGAATGAGAAGGAATATTTTTTCTGGAATGACCGTATTCCAGTTAAGACCAAAAGGGATTTTTTCAAGCAAAAAGTAGAAGAAATGAATGATGCTATTAAAGAAAAAATTCAGTAAATCAACATGTATAAAAATGTTTTCATGAATATTTATGACTAAGAATAAACATCATAACATTGCTCCACATTGTATACTTTTCATGCATTACTCTCCAGAGCACCTGAGTCACTTAGCCTATGGCTATGTATGCATACAGAGTAAAATTGAAAAAGTTGCGGATTTCATTGTCCCTGTTTCTCTTTGGCCTGAGGGGTGTGACCAAAACCATCAAAATTAATACAATCATCAAGTATCATCTTAGATGTACTCCTGGGCATTAAGCAGTCATGATTATTTAAAAAAAAAACCCATCAAGCCCTTTATTAGAATTGTGAACTTCTTGGCCACTGAGTCAAGAATGGGTTTAAGTTGGTCTTGTACTGAAATGAACTATATCAAATAATCTTTTTTACTCATGGACATCTTAGCAGAGAAACTGTGTGAAATTAGAAACTTAAAGGCAGAGATTTTTTACTGGATGGTAAATTCCAGGTGAGGGAGGGGCTTATTTTGTACAGGTGTGAATGCCATGAGGGCTAGCAGTCTACCTGTGCTTATTTGTCTCCTAATCCCTATACACAGAAAGTGATTTAATACACAGTAGAGTACTCAGGAAGTCAAACTTTACATGTGTTGAGATTTTGAGATGGTTTTAAATTAGAAATAAAAAGTTGTAAATAAAGTTTAATCTTAATAATTTTTATTAATTTGTAATTGAATGTGTGTCAAAGCATCCCCACCCATTAAAAAAAATATTATTATTCAAAGTATTTGTTGAGCTTTGAAAAAAGTTATACCAAATTTTGATATATATTATCTTAAAGAATATAATTATTTTAAAATACTAAAGGTGTGTGTTTGTACATATATTATTCCATAGTAATACAGCTTCTCCATTGTTTATATCATTTGTGGCAAATATCAAAGGATCAAAAGTTAATTTGAAGGTCACCACGAATGCCAAACAAGGTGCACAGGGTATACACAGGGACTAGTAAGTACATGTAAATGTCAAAGTTCTAGCACCCAATGATGTACCTTAATGCACTTGATTGACGGGAGTACACAGACCAGGTATTTTTGAAGTTGGTGCTTAAAATCTCTGCCTTTAAGGTAGTGAATCTTTGACCATAACTGAAATTCATGGCACCATGGTTCAGGCCAAAGGGTGGAGTTAAAGGTTCATTTATTGAAAAAGCATAACAGGATGTGTTTGTGAAAAACTACCCCCCCCCCCCCCCCCCCCCCGGCAGCTCAAGGCCGAAGTTAAAGTTTTTTCCAAAAGAAGGTCATACTTCAAGGTCAATGTCATGAGGTAAAAAATAACGGTACCAAAGGAAAGGTCTTGTTACAAGAAATGCATAAGTGAATTTTGAAAGCCCTAGCTGCAACTGTTCAGAAGTAATAGGCAAGGTTATTTTAGCTTTTTTTTTAGGTCACCTGAGTTTACTCAGGTGACCTATTGCTATCTGTTTTCGTCCGTCGGCGTGCGTCGTCCGTCGTGCGTTAACATTTGAACATTTTCAGCTTCTTCTCTGGAACCACTAAACCAATTTCAACCAAATTTGGCACATAGCATCTATATGTGAAGGGGAGTAAAAATTGTGAAATTCATGACCCCTACCCCCCTGGGGCCTGAGGGGTGGGGCTAAAACCATCAGAATTAATGCAATCTTTAAAAATCTTCTTCTTTACTCCTGGGCATCAAGCAGGCAAACTGTTGGCATGAATGTAATAAGCATTGAGCCCTCTACCTAAATTGTGAAATTTATGGCCCCAGGGTCAGGGGTTCTGGTGCTAGGGTGGGGCTCTGTTGAATATGTAGTGAAAAGCATTATTCTTAAAAAATCTTCTCCTCTGCTCTTCGGTATTTAGGAAACAAACAATATGCATAGTTATGATGAGGAAAGGTGTCTCTTCTAAAATTGTGAATTTCATGGCCCCTGGGTCAGGGGTTCTGGTGTTAGGGCAGGTATCTAATGATTATATAGTGAAAATGCATTAATTATTCAAAAATCTTCTCCTCTGCTCCTGGGTACTAAGCCGATGAACTAACTACATAGTTATGATGAGAAAGAGTGCCTCTTCCAAAATTGTGAATTTCGTGGCCCAAGGGTCAGGGGTTCTGGTGTTAGGGTGGGGCTCTGTTGAATATATAGTGATAATGCATTATTTCTTTAAAAAGCTTCTTCTGTGCTCTTGGATATTATGAAAACAAAATAAAATACATAGTTATGATGATGAAAGGTGCCTCTTCCAAAATTGTGAATTTCATGGCCCCAGGGTCAGGGGTTCTGGTGTTAGGGCAGCGTTCTGTTGAATATACATGTATAGTGAAAATGCATTATTTCTTTTAAAAATCTTCTCTGATCCAGGGCAAACAAACTGAAGGCATAGTTATGATGAATCAGGGTGCCTATTCCTATGTTGTGAATTTCATGGCCCCCTGGTCAGGGGTTCTGGTTTTAGGGCGGGGCTCTAATGATTACATAGTAAAAATGCAATAATTCTTTTACAATCTTCTCCTTTTCTCCTGGGTAATAAGCTGATGAACTAAGAGTATAGTTATGATATGTAAGGGTGCCTGTTCCAATATTGTGAAATTCATGGCCCCTAGGTCAGGGGTTCTGGGGTTAGGGTGGGGCTCTGTTGAATATATAGTGATAATGCATTATTTCTTTAAAAATCTTTTTCTTTGATCCTGGGTATTTAACAAACAAACTGATGCATAGTTATGATGAGTAAAGGTGCCTCTTCCAAAATTATGAATTTCATGGCCCCTGGGTCAGGGGTTCTGGTGTTAGGGTGGGGCTCTAATGATTACATAGTAAAAATGCAATAATTCTTTGAAAATCTTCTTCTTTTCTCCTGGGTATTAAGCTGATGAACTAAGAGTATTGTTATGATATGTAAGGATGCCTCTTCCAAAATTGTGAATTTTATGGCCCCTGCATCATGGTTCTGGTGTTAGGGCAGGGCTCTAATGATTACATAGTGAAAATGCATTAATTCATTGATAATCCTCTGCTCTCTTCCTGGGTATTAAGTAAGCTTACTCAATGTAAAATTATGATGAGCAAGTGTGCCTCTTTCGAAATTGTGAATTTCATGGCCTTTGGTTTAAAACATGAATCTATTGTGGCGAAGTTGTTGCATGATACTCAGGTGACCTATAAGGCCCTTGGGCCTCTTGTTTCAAACGTAGATCAAACGTCAAGATTATGAGGTCAATAATGGTGGTACTCAAAGAAAGTCTTGTTACAAGGAATACACATTTGATGTAGAAAAGTCCTAGCACACACCATTCAAGTTTCAAATGTAGGTCAGACTCAAAGGTCGAAGTTGAAAGGTCAAACTTGTTGATACCCCAAAAAAGGTCTGCATAAATACAACGACTGCCTATCCTACAAAAAAAAAATATCTACCTTGGGACCAGAATGGTCCCAGTTACTCCATTGCTTCGGTGGTAAGCAAATTTGTTACAGGTTGTAAATATGTATCTTCTTTACTCCTGAACTTCTACGTTGCAAGCTGCGTGTATAGGATAATGGTTATAGAGTCCTAACAAAGGCGTAATTTGTTATCACTTCAGCCCAGGGTTCCAGTTCCACGTGGGAGCAAAGTTATCATAGATTTAGAAACTAATGATACTCAGATGACCACCAAGGCCAATGGGCAGCTTGTTATTTTGTAAAGAAATTTCATCACAGCAATTTTCTGATAGGATTTTTCTTCCCAACTGGTTAATTTTCTTGACATTTATTCATAAAATATGAATTAAAATAAAAATTGTTTGTTGAGGAGCTCCATTTTGGTTTTCATATCAGACAACTCACATCAAAACTAACAGAAACAAGTTAGAAATAATACATGTACTTATGTTGTAAATTCGCGCGTTACTCAATTTGTCTGCACAGATCGTTGCAGTGATGTGACTACATCTTTCAAAAAATAATAATTCAATGCTTAAGTATTGCGAAATATATTGTTACATTTTCAACAAAAATTTAAATGATATTTTTTTTAATTATATTTATTTCCTTCTAAATGTAAAATGTACATAACTTTGATAAATAACTAATAAAAGATATCGCAAACCTTTCTGACTTTTCTTTATATTTTATGATAGAATTCCTCAGTCCAAGCATTTTGCTACGAAATAATGAGCTCATTTTCGTAGGTTAAAAAAATATTCGCGTTATAATGCGAAACTTTCGCGTTATAACCCAATTTTCGCAACGTAAAACTTTCGCGTTTTAAAATAACGCGAAATTATATATAGTTATGTTACTCAGGAAGCTGTGATCTTGACTGACAGATAAGAAACATGAACGCAGACGGGGACTTCTATGAATTTATAAATGACATTTCTTCAGAAGATGTGAAAGAATAACTGGATGGATTAGTGTTGAGAAATCTGCATTTAATCTCGAAACCTTACTAATTTATAAAATGAATATTTCTTTAAAGATTTTCTTGTTTTTCACTTGTTAAATCCAGGAAATTCTTTTTTTTTTCCAGGAAGATCTCCACTCGTCACTTTCTTTCTCAGGGCTGTTTTTTATCATTTAAGTCCATTACAACCCTAGTAAAGAAATCCATCATTTTAATTAATTTAGACTATAAATTTTACAGTGTAGAAGTCTGGCTTAAAGTCATATATGGCGTATTTTTGATAAGTTCAGATAACCAAAATTTAAAACATCTTTCTATTTGATTTATTACTTTATATGAAATTAGTACGTCTGTAAATTACACAATCAACTGCGTTTGAAAGATATCAAAAAATCAAAACAATAACCGATTTATTTACCGACTCCACATTTAAATAAAAGACACATTTAAAGTCAATTTAATTATAGAAACGTGAGGTTATTCGAGTTCAAAATCGGTGAAAAACATTATATATCATGTATATCTACATTCAGTCTCGTATTATCATTTTTAGATCAGATACGCCAGATATAGCTTTAAAAGTGAGGGAACAATGTATCATTTCATGAGCTTAACGTGCCACATGATGCTTTTTAAAGAATAATCATAATACTGTTAATCACAAATTTATCGGGGAGAAGGGGTCTA